CCCTCCGCTGGTAACCCCGTCCACTCCCCGCACCTCGTGTCCCTCCCCCACCCCCACCGCCCCTGCACCACCCCGCTCCCCATCCCCTTTAGAAGGCGCCCCACTAGGTGCACCACTCGGTGCTTCAGCAGCAGGGGACTTGGACTTTTCTGCTCCCTTGCCTCCATCAGCAGGGCCGGGGGAAGCAGCTGAAGCAGGAGCAAGGTGGGCAGGAGCACTAGGGGCAGGCTTGCTTGCGTGCGCACTGCTGTTCTTCTTGGGATCACTCAGGGGTGTGCGGGCAGGGGATGGCGCAGAGGCGGGGGCGGAGGAGGGGGGCGAGGACGAGGCAGGGGCAGGAGGAGGGGCTCGAGAGGAGGCAGGGGCAGGGGTCGGGTGTTTGGGTGAGGGAGTGGCTGGTTTTCGTGCCGATGCTGGTGCTTGTGCTGGTGCTTGTTTTGGTGTTGGTGCTGGTTTAGGGGCGCTGGCGTTGGTGGTGGCTGGGGTGTTTGGCTTGCTTGGCGTGAGAGGTGGTTGCGGTGCTGCTTCCACTGGCTTGCCTGACGTGCCTGCGAGGGCGTGAGCGAGTTTGAGAGGGTTTTGGGTGAAAGCAAGGAAGAAACGCTTGTGAGAAAAGAGCAGTGAGCACTGATTGCTAGTTTAGAAGTGGATGGGATTACAGAATTGCAGGCGATTCCAAGTAGGAGAATGAAAAGAGAGAGCTCCAACAACACGAGGACTAGCTATCTTCCGTGCCTGGTGGACGACAGGCAGAAACGAGGCCAGACGAGGTTACATCAGGTGAGTTGAGGGATGAGAGGTGGGTGAGGTGAGGACGGGGCGTGATGGATGGATGGATGGATGGATGGATGGACGGGTGGCTTACAGTTGAGGGGCACGAAGCTCATGGTCTTGTTGGGCAGGTTGAACTGAATGAACTGATCCCGCAGCCACAGCGCTGCACGCAGGCAGGCGAGCAGGGCAACCAGCAGAAAGGAGAGCACAAAGGCGTGAACGTGTGTTTGTGTGCGTGGGTGTGTGCGTGGGTGTGTGCGTGGGTGTGGGGCGTGGGTGTGGGGCGTGGGTGTGGGGCGTGGGTGTGGGGCGTGGGCGTGGGCAGGAGGTTGAACTGATCCCGCAGCCACAGCGCTGTATGTAGGCGAGCAGGGCAACCAGAAGGGGGGTTGAGCAAGAGGGTGTGAGTGTGCGTGGGTGTGTGAGTGTGTGCGCGCACGCGTGTGCATGCTTGCGTGCGTGTGTGTGTGCGCGCGCACACGTGCGAGCGTGTGAGAGGCGGGTGCAACACCACTGTGGAGAGAGTAAAGAGAACAGAAGGAAC